ATGATTTTTTATTAATTAATAAAGGTTTTAATGTACATGTAAATGGCATAATTTTTCTCTTTTTTTAATTCTTTTCATTATTATTTTTTTGTTATGCATATATTAAGGTGAGTTTAATTTTTAATAACTCGTGCTTAGAGTTTTTAACTATATATTAATCTGTTCAACTTCCTCTATAATAATTATATTAACACTAAGCAAGAGTGTCAACACAACCATGTGGGGTTTTTGGGTCCTTTTGCTATTTTTTCAAAGATAAAATTGCAAGTCTGGTCCTAAGACTTCAACGCTATGTTTAGGGCATAGTTTCAATGTTTAAGCAATAGTATTTTTTTTTTTTTTTTGTTGAGGGTGGGTTCCCTCTGTATCTTTTCTATTCCTTTTGTCTGTCTTCTATTTTCCATAGTCATTCTCGTAGAATGGACAAACTGAATAAATTAATTAAATATAATATAATAAAAGGTGAAGAGAATGATTATTTAATTAAGAAAAAGGGACAATGATGGTTGACAACAACAATAAAAATAAAAGAGAAAAAGCTAGTCTTATAAATAAAGTTGGAAGAGTTATCAATAATAATTAAATTAATAATAGATTACTTAGGGACATTGTTAGTAATTTTTAAGAAAAGAATGGAATATATAAGACAAAGATAACCCTACAATTTATTTATATTATATCATGGATAGTCAACTCTACATAATATGAAAATTATTAGATATTGTTTAGAAGTACATCCATTTTTTTCTTGCTCTAGTAAGATATTTTTATTCTTTGTAACAGTGTTCTAAGTCCTTCAACAATCCTTGAAACATGTTCTTTATATACTACTTCTTTTTCTTTCTCCATTTCATGCAAAGAAGATTGTCTCTGAAAAGCTTCTTTAATAGCTTGCATTTTGCAATTAACATCTTCAATGCAAAATCATGAGATTTCTTTAATTCTAAGATAGCATGTTTTGTAGCAAATTGTTGCTTCTTCCATAGTTGCAAAAGGATAGCCATTGTAAATTAATTTCATAGCAATGTAGTCCTCTTCTTGGATTAGTTGAATGCTAGAGGCATAATTCCCATCATCACTTAGATTTGTTTGATATTGTGGCTGACCTAAATTCAATCGAATAGATATCCTCTCCAGTAGTTCCTTGAAATTAATTCTTTCCACAAACTTAGGGTTTTCCATGCTACAAAATGGTTGTCAAAAGAAAATGTTGAATTGTAATGTATAAATAATGTAATTGAAAAAAAATGAAATAAGTATCAAATACCCAGTATCAAATGTAATATACCCGTTTGAAATTGTTGGTTGACTCAAATTCCTTCATCAAAAGTTTGCATGGAGAATGGGGAAGGGTGGAGCTTAAATAGAAATCATGTAAATATATCTCTTTAATTAGATTACTATTATAGGATAGGTTAGAAATAGTGACTCTTTATTTTTAATCATCATCATTACTATGGTATTAAATTGTATTTGCATAGTCTATTTAAATTCATTGGCAAAAAAAAAGAGTATATTT